AAAAAAAAAACAGCATCAGCAAATTCATCACATACTCAAAGCAGTAGTATGCATACATCCAGGAAATAAGTACTCCCTCCGTCCCAAAATATTAGTCCCTTATTCTATTTTTCATTGTCCCAAAATGTTAGTCCTTTTTTAAAAGTCAATGATGAAAATAATATGAATTTTCTATTTTGCCCTTCTTTTAAATTCATTAACAATACAAAAAGTACAATTATGATAATTGATATTCCCAAAAAAATGTACTATCAAAGGGTAATTTTGAAAAAATAATATTTTTAAAGTATAATAATTGTACTATCAAAAAAAGTTGGATTCCCCTAAAGGGACTATTATTTTGGGACGGAGGAAGTAAGAAATTCAGAGCCTTCCCAAAATAGGGTATAAATCCTGTAATATAAAGCTGCATATAATCTTCAACAAACTTTACTATCTTTAAAATTATAAATAAATCGCAATGAGTTTAAAATGAATGTTCTAAAATAGAAAAGCAGTAAAAAGATAAACTGATGGAAAAAAAAAAATCCATAGATCAGTTTTACCTCCAAGAAGAAAAAGCTCAAAAGGAGGACTGAATAGACCTATTCGTCTATTCCAATCACGACCTGCGAAAAAATGTTTTATAGGAGTTGATACTCATAGATGTAATCAACACATAACTTCTGTTCTGAAAGACAATGCCTCAAAAAAGCAGTAGTGTCTCTATTTAGAAACCATCAAACACTAAGTTGGAAATTTACCCCCCAATATCAGTACGCTTATCCATCTGAGTTGCATTTGAAGAGCTGAATAGCTCTGGTTGGATTGGCATTTCTGCGAAGGTAGGCCCATATTTTCCAATCACAAGAAAGCCATATTTAGCAACGTCACTGTACCTGGATTAAGGTATAAAAAGATGCAGATATGAATAAAATAATGTAAAATTATCAAGTATTCCAACATTCTGCATAAATAAAGGAAATGTTTTCCATCACTACTGCATGATGTCAAATAGCATGCAATGGGATCAGAAGGCCTAAAGTAGCTTTTACTCCTGAAATAGCTATCTAATGCTTCAACAATTGTATTATTAGTTCTGCAACCCTCTCCTACAATTTTGCTGGAAATGTGTGTAGGACACTTTTCTTCACATTTGTCTTAAATTACTTATACAGCAAGTGGCTAAACCACCAAGAAAGCAAAACCAGATCATATGTTTCTGAGAAAAGTAGTAACCTTGTCCTGATAAATGTAACTTGGCTAAAAAATATAAATAAAAAAACACTTGATTTATGTGGATGAATATAGTTGGGTAAAAATATATATATCTATATAATATGGTAGAACGATTTTTGAAAATATGTATATTTTTGTCCTACATGGCATCATCAATGGTTTAGATCACTTCATCTACAAAATTAATGTTGAGATTTGTTTGGCCCAAAATATGTTTCCTGCCTCTCTTTCCTCTCTTCTCTCTCACTACTCTCCTCTTTCATCATTCCCATTACTCTCTCTCTCTCTCTCTTTTCCTCTTCTCCCCTCATCCACCATCGCTCGATTTGCGCCGCTTTTGTTCCGCTCTGGTGAAGACCTGCCTCCACAACAACAGAAGCCCCTTCATCTCCCCTACAAATGCAATCCCCCTCTTTCTCTCTCTACATCTCACTCTCTTGCTTTTGTTTCAATCCCATACTCTTTCATTCCATTGGAGCCCAACCCACTTGGCAATGACGACGACAATGAGAGGATGATTATGGGAGTGGTGAGTGTGAAAGTGTTGGAGAGAGGATGATTATTGACTGACATGTTTGTATTTTTTTTTCCAGATTCTTCTGTGTATTGATGTTGCTACATCTTTTGCAAAGTTTGCAACTATGTCCCAAAAGCTTTTGGATCAGGCAATGTAATCTAACTTTTGTTGTGGAGATCGTATATTAGGGATTCAAACATATTCTCTATATTTATCTCTTATTTGACTTTGACCTGATCACATAGTTTCGAAATATTGTGGATTCCAGTTATTAGTTCCTGATGGAATAAATAGTACGTTCTACCTTTGTTTCATGAAATATTGCGGATTCTAGTTCTTATTTGTCTTTAGGATTTAGCAAGAAATTTTGTGTAGTACTTTCTTATGGTATGAGAAATAATGGTTGTTTGCATGAATCTAATGGCAGCTTGGGGGCCTCTATGGAGCTAATGCCAGGATTCAAGCCCCCATTGTGAAGCTTAATTAGAATTCTCTTTTCGTCCATGTGAAACCCTTCGATGTTATAAACATTTATATATTTTTCTTATTTAAAGTTAATTTCATAGACAGAGTTCATCATTGGTTTTGTTTTGTTTTTGTTTTTGTTTTTTTCTTCTCTTTTTCTAAAACGCGTTAGTAATTCATGGTTACTGCTTTTGTTCCTGCTACAAATGAGAATAGTTTTGGTTGTGTTTTTCTTTTCATGAACAATTAATAGTGTTGCTGGAGTCAAGCTTTGAAGAATGAGCTATTCTCTTACTTTCTCTCTTTACCTAACCTCGAACCCCCTATTCCTCTGTTTTCTTTCTTTGAATTTATTTGGTCTAATGTTTAGTTTGGTAGGTTTGGTGTGATTTTGATTTTGTTGTTGCCTCAAGTTAAATTAGATTGGCCCTAATTTAATTTCTCTCTAAACTTGGGGATTTGATTCATGAAAATTTGTTTATTTCAACACAGTCAAGTTAATTTTTTTGTTAAATAGTGTGGGTCTTTGAATATTAGATCAGTCTTTGTATGTTATTAAAATAGTAATCAAACAGAGAGAGAGGAAGGTGGATATGTTTTTGTGGCTATTAATAACCTATAATATATTTGGAGCTTTTTGAAATTTATAGAAGTAATCAAACACCGTAGAGAAAGGCTGATCATCAGAGGACTGTTGAGAACTTAAAGAAAAGAAAGAGAAAAGGAAATGAACACGCAGAGAGAGAGGAAGGTGGATATGTTTTTTGAATACCACTTAAATTGTAGAGACATTTTTTGAATATATTTGGTGTTTGGTTACTTCTATTGAATATTTAGGTTTTGATTTCTATTAAATATATTGTTACAATTAGATTTCTTTTTATGATTTATTTTTTTTGAAATCTGTAGAAGTAACCAAACACCAATCATCAGAGGACTTCTGAGAACTTAAAAATTGAAAAGAGAAAAGGAAATGAAGAGAGAGAGAGAGAGAGAGAGAGAGAGGAAGGTGGATATGTTTTTTGAATACCACTTAAATTGTAGAGACATACATACATATGTATATATGTTTTTTGAATATATTTGGTGTTTGGTTACTACTGTTGAATATTTAGGTTTTGATTTCTATTGAATATATTGTTACAATTAGATTTCTTTGTATGATTTTTTTTGTTTTGATATCTATAGAAGTAACCAAACACCATAGAGAAGGTCTGATCATTAGAGGACTTCTAAGAACTTAAAAAAGAAAGAGAAAAGGAAATGAAGACAGAGAGGGGGGGGGGAGGTGGATATGTTTTTTGAATACCACTTAAATTGTAGAGACATACATACATTTGTATGTATGTTTTATGAATATATTTGGTGTTTGGTTACTTCTATTGAATATTTGGGTTTTAATTTCTATTGAATATATTGTTACAATTAGATTTTTTTGTATGGTTTATTTTTTTAAAAATCAAAGAGCTTGAAATATTTGATTTGGAAAAAATATTTGATTGCCATACATGGTTGTGAATTTTTTTAAAGGTTGTATGAAAATTCTTAATAATGTATAAATGACGGAAATTACTTGGTATATGCAAAATACATACATCTCAAGATTAGTTTGACCGTAATTTTGAATATGTTGGTGAGCTAAAAACAAAAAATCAAAAAAAAAGGTATTGTCACATTTAATTAATCATTTCATGTGCCAAGTATTTCTATATCTTAACCAATATTCTTAAACACACATCAATAAAATTTATTTATATATAAATTCATTCTATTCTATATAAAGTGAGTGGGGTAGATGGAGTGTCTTGAGAAGGGGACTTCGTAAAGAAATGGGGTATGGCCTGATGGCCTAATGGTTTTTTAAGTGTGAAATTGGTCATCCCTGTTTTTTATGGGTTTTATGGGACTTCTTAAAGTGAAGAGCACGCCCTGGATTTATGAATTTTTGTAATTAGTATAGGAAAGGTTAAAAGAAAGTAGGGAATTTATGTCAGAGTTTGGATAGGGATTTGGAGGCAAAAAGGGCATGTGAAATTGTTTTTTCAAAAATGTTTTTTTTTTTTTTGGTCAATAAATTTGAACTCATAATTTAAATTGGATTCTGTTAAAATAAAATGGTGATCAAAGTAGTTTATGTTTTACTATTAAAATGTAATTTTTTCACAAGGTAAGTGAGAAAGAGAGAGAGAAGAGAGATAATAGGGGTGATGTAATTTGTTTAAAGACTGGAAAAAAGAGTTTTTTTTTTTTAACAAAACTTTGTTATCCACCTCGGTGAGAAAGCCCACGAGACATATTCTTACAATAAATTACCTTTTCCGGTTTTTACTTTAATTTTATTGGGGTGCATTTATGTCCCGGTAATTTTACAAAACTCATTTGAAACTCGCAACCAATCGAATTTGTATTTATATTTTGACCTCAAATTTTAGCAACAAATTTGATAAATTACATTTTAATTTAATAATTTTATATTCAATTATATTTTGATCTCATCATTAATTGCGCCGTGGCTTTAGGCACAGACATACACTAGTGTATATATATATCACAACAGATTGGCTGGCAAAAGGAAAAGGTCAAGTACTAGCCAAGGTCACCATGCTCAAATAAATAAATATATACAACAATGGACCACATAATAAAAACAGCAATACAGATGCAGAAACCATCCTTCTTTTCTTTGCTTTAGCATAGATCTAATAAAATGAAAAGGGTAACAAGGGTAAAGCAAAAGGAAAGGGCACTACCACAAACTGCTTAGAATAAAGCTGGATACATACAATGGGTAGAACCCAAATACCTGTAAGGATTAATCAAATGAAGTAATGAGTAACGGTCGAAGTGAACTTTTATAGCTAAATTTCCTATAGAGGAAGCAAGAACAGAAATTATACAAAAATGCCGACACAATACACAATAAAAGGAATATGATAGAGCACTTTCAAATCATTTTAACAATTTCTGTTCAACTATCACATGTTTTTCTTCAAGTGATAAAAAAACCTAGAAGAAAGTAATAAATGGTCATTCCTAGTGCACGAGGCTCCTCTTGGTTCTACGTCAATATGGTATTAGCCTTAAGTTTTATAGCAACTCTAGCCTTCCCAATATCTTTCATCAAATTGAAAAGGAAGAAATTCACAACTCTAAATGAATAACAAAATAGGATGTAAAACAGAAGGATCTACTAAAATTCCAATTTCCAACCACCAACATCCTCATCGTTTTGGCATCTAAAATTTCTGTTGTTGGTGAACCCCATCTCCTAAAATTTCATGCCGCATTCTTTCACATTAATTTCTTTATTTTCTTTTCCAATACCAATTTACCCACGTTTCGTGCTAACTTTTAGAACAATAGTTACCTAACACTCTAGAAGTGCCAACCAATTCCTTCTATCCTCTACAGTAAATCTACATAAATGTATATATATAGGAAAATGTGTATATATACACCACTACATATATATTTATAGAAACAGAAACCAAGGTTTCTTTTAAATACACGGACTTGAGACAAAGATATTAGGGGTTAAAGTTATATAAGAGGCCTAGCTCTTGTTAATTGTTCATACTTAAGAGATCTAAAGGAGAAAATAGTACAGTGGTAACGAGACATATTATTGGGGATCTTTGTACAACTAGAATCCTCCTTAAGATGAATTTGGAATAACTACATATTCACCTAATTATTTGAATGCAATCATTGCTCTTAAATCAAATCTATCTATGCATCTTGTTGAAATCTATATCTAAGCTATTAAACGTAAATATTAGCCACAGTCCTTAAAATGATTATATTCAGATCCATTCATTTCAAATCCACATGTAACCTAACGGAAACTACAAGAAAACAAATTTACAATAATAATATAGGCTAATAAGTATCCTCCAATATAAGGAGCTAGAAAGCACATTTCACCACATGCTTATGAATTTGCATGACTTCTTGTGCATGCTTATACTTTACCTAACTTGTAAGCTCTTCATAACACAACTAAAATTTTATCATATCAAATGCAATTTTCCCACTAAAGAGATTAGTTAAATTAAATGGCAGTTAGTTGAATTAGTATAGAGACATTTTCTCGCAACATATTATAATATAAAAATTACGTACGAGGAAAAAAAATTATCTGCCGTATACTCACATAGAAGAGTTGTAGAAATCCAAGACGTAAGAATGGGTAAAGTTTTAAAATACCACCAGATGAGCACAATTTTTGAGAACCAGAATGTGGGCATTGATCAGGTAATATCCATTGTAGTGTTGGAATGACAACAGAGTTTACGATAAAGATACTGCAAGTGATAGAGATTTAAGTAATTTAAGATATTAGGTTTGCAGTCCAAAATCCAACAAAAAAGAATCAATACATCAATTGACGATATGTAGCAAGAAATATTAACCCTTGGAAGATTAAACTCCAGAAAACTGGAAAAACTTAGAACTTGCGCACAAAGCACATTCTAGCATGAGTTGGAATATGGGACTCTCAAGCAATGAATAGATACACACAAATACATATGCATATGATTATTATACACTAAGCAAGAAACAAGGATGATGAGAGATATACCTTCCTAAGAAAATCAAGCCGTTTAAGAGAAAACACTGACCAGTTCGTATCGCAAGCTGTTTAGAACTTCCGTAGAAAAATACAACACACATAAATGTCAAAAAAATTGAATAAAGGAATCAAAAATTGAGAGAGAGAGAGAGAGAGAGAGAGAGAGAGAGAGCTACAGAGAACCTGAAACAGTAGATGAGGACCCTGTGGAGACAGCAAGCGTCTCTAAAACCACGGAGCCAGAGCAGCGATGCCTGCTTCGGTCTTGGTCCCAAAACCCCCAGAAAGGAAGCCATTTTTTTTGTTAGTTTTGGGGGTAAAACCCATTTCTAGGGCACATTTGGATTTTGCCACCAAAACAAGTTGAAAATGATTATTATTAAGGCCTCTTTTGGCAAGAGGCTATTTTAGCCAATTAGCCAAAAAGTTACTAAATTAGTCAAAAAACCAACAACCCATACCAAAAAGTCAAAGATTCTCTTTTCTCTCTACTTTTTGCACATCTTTTCGTAATTAGCCAAAAAGTCATCCCAAACATACAAGTTTTTTTTACTTACCTTTTTAGCCAAATAGCCAAAAAGTTACTAAATTAGCCTGTTCCCAAACGAGGCCAATTATAAGATAAATTATAAACTTATTTTTTAAAATTTATTTAAAATATGAATTTTCTTTATATTTAAAAAATTATAAATATGTTTTTGTCATAATTTTTTATTTAAAAAAATAAAATTCTTAAATATTTTTTATCTAATAATAAAATTGGAAAAATTAGCCAATTATCCCTCTCTAACCTTGTATGGTAGGAAATGTCCAAAATATATTTTTTTTATTAGTTAAGGTCTCTCAACATTTTCATAAAAAAAAATAATTCAACTCAGAAAAAGTTTGCCCGACTCAAGGAAATTTCACTCGATTTAGAAAAATTTGTCTGTGAAATCAGAGAAATTTATCTATGAAAATTGAAATTTCTCTGAGTCAAATTTTCCTTGTAGAAATGTTGAGTTAACTATTATGAAAATATTGTATATCCTTTATCTTGGGACCTTAAAAAAAATTTCTCAATAAAATTAAGGAGCTATTATTTTCACTTGACTTTGTTCCAATTAGACTTTCTTCTTTGCTTCAAATACATTAATATTCTTAAAATTTTAGTTTTTTAAGGGAATGTATTTTGTGTGAAAAGTTATTAATGTAATTATATATAAGCTTATTTTGGAAAGTGGGTTAAAAATCACTTCTCAATTTTTTAGTGTTGCTATTAGCACCTACTTTTCTTCTTTGGACCCCTCATTCTTTCTTTTTCTTTTTCTTTTTAATTCCAATTTTGTTCAAATATGAAATTACATTTTTACTATTATCCTTAACATCTTAACTCTAATTTCCCAAACACTAACCCTAATTTCCCAAACCCTAATCCACCAACCTTTTCACTACTATCTCTATCGGTGACCACCACTGCCACTGCCACTGCCACTGCCACTGCTGTCGGCGACAACCAATTTCGTCGCGAGCAAGAACATCAGCCGCCGCCTTCTCTGCCTCGGCAACGGGAGTAGTTTCCAGTGATAGGGCTTTTCACGCCGCCTTGATCCCTTTATTGCCGCTACTGGTGCCGGGAAAAGAGGCATATTATTGCGATGTAGAAGTTGAGGGTAGTTGTATTAGAGCATTTGTCTAGTATCATGAATTACGGGCTTGGGCATTATGGAACATCTGAAATTAAATCTACATATGGCATTGGTGTTCATCTTTCACATGCAATTTGCACTATTACCAAGTCAGAGTTTAATTGTCTTAACCCATTTCCTCTCTCATAAAAAAATAAAAAATAAAAAGTCGAAAAGCCAAAAAAATCAAAAAATTACTTTTAACCATATTTCCAAAATAGGCCATAATAAACAAAGAATGAAATATATTTGAAATAAAATAGAATAAAAACATCGACTTCCTAAAATTATTTAAATTATTACTAATTAAAATATATTTTTAAATAATTAAAAGTTATTAATTATTTATTAATAAAATAGACTATCTGAAATTAGCAATTTGAGGAGTAGAAATGTAAATTGTAATTCTTCAAGATCACAATTTGTATTTTACCCAACAAACAAAGCCCACAAGTTTCCCTCATTTTGAAGCAATTAATGACCAATTTCGCCGCCATTGTTGTACAGCAATCAACTTCTCTAAACAGTTCTACAACGTGAGCCCTGCGTCTGCGGACAGGCCTTTCTCGAGCTCCTCGGAAAGGCCTAGATGGCCCAGCTCCTCGGAAAGGCCGGGATGGCCCAGCCCCCTGAAAAGGCCCGGATGACCCAACTCCGTGAAATGGCCCGCTTGTCTCTCCAAGAACAACTTCGATCCGCAAAAGTACACTCTCTTTTCTTCATTTTTTTTTAAAGAAAATATTTCATTCTCTTGTCGAGAAATCGCAAGCAAAGAAAACGAATTTTGAAATATATTTACAAAATTTCAAAGAAAACCCATCTCATTTATCAAACTGAGGATTAGTGCTTAATCTTTCAAGTTCTTCCTCTGTTTTCATTTTAGTTGATAGAATTCGATGTTTTTTAGGCGATTGGGGTTTTTTTTTTGGGATAAATATTTAGGCGATTAGGGTTTATACTTTGTAATTGACTTGAATCTTGGAAATTTGATAATAATATTCGGTTAACTCCATGATAAATGGGTATATATATATATAGAGAGGTGGTTATTATTGCTATTATGCATAATAAACATATTGAAATTAAAATATGTGACAAGTACATAAAATTATGAGTAATGCTTAATAAACCAACAAATCTTTAAAAAAAAATTCGTATTTACTAATGGGATACATATTATATCATTGAGGTGGTGATATAATATAAGTGGTTTTCAAAGTTTTATTATTGTATAACAATTTGCTAGTTTGTATATTTTCTTAAAAATGTATAGAAGAATATAAAAATATATAAAATGTGTACTGAAATATGTGCGCGAGACATTATTTGGTTCTGAATGAACATTGAGGGAGTAGTGGTTAGTAGGACCCATTATTTAATGCACTAGTTTACATTGGTAGTACTATTTTCCTATTGAAACGCTTATTCTTAACCCTTGACAACATTAGGTGTTTCTTAATTTCTAATTGTAAAGCTTGTAGTCAGCCTTTGTCTGGTCATATCTAAGGAAAGAAAAAAAGAAAAAAAAAAAACCTTTGTCTGGTAGGGTTTGTTGTTGTCTGATTTGTTTAACTGGTTATGGAAAATGACTGTTTTGAAGAAAAGTCACTGTCTATTTGCTTATTATTAGAGCAGGGCAGTGTAGGAAGACTCACCCTAGCCACTATACACTACAACAAAATTGAATTTTTACGGCTTGCAGTATATGCCGTGAAAATTCTTTCAAGTCATGCGTACAAATGCTGTTATATGACATGCCGTGAAAAGTTAAGCATCATTTACGACATGTAGGTAAAATTGTAAAAAGTAATAAATTAAACATTAATGACATAGTCATATATAATTTTTTACAATATTTTTGTCATGCCATAAATCATCATACTTTCCATGGCATAATTTTGCATGCCATAGAAGGTTATTTTGAATATATTTATGGCATACTTTGTATACCGTATATAATATTTTACAGTATTTTCTTGCACGTCATAAATCATCACACTTTTCACGATATAATTTTGTATGTCAAAGAAGGTCATTTTTAATATATTTATGACATATTTTGTATGCCGTATATAATCTTTTACGGCATTTTCTTGCATGTCATAAATCATTACACTTTTTATGACATAATTTTATATGCCGTAGAAGGTTATTTTTAAAATATAATATATATACAGGAATATAACTTTGCCTAACAGTATGCAGATATTAGCTTATAAAATGCAACCTACGAACAAACCAAGCAGAAGCACCAACTATGAAGTAAGTAAAAAAATCTAATACGCCAATCAACCTGCATACTAACTACCATCCTCAACTTCTATCATATCAACCTAATAACAACCTCAAACATATAAATCAAGAAAAATATCCAAATCATAAGGTTTACTAATTTCTAAAATACGACTTTAAACATCCAAAAAGTATAACTACAAATCGTAAATCAATTAGTCTAATATTTAGTCCAAAAAAATGAATTGACTAGGCCATGCAACTGTAGTTCCTATTGCATTTTGAAGATCATATATTTCATAAATGAAAGTTAAATATGTTCAAGAGTATATACAAAGGAATTAAATAAAAAGTTTTTAACTGTGCTTACATAAATAAAAAAATGAAAAACTTGAAAAACTAAGTTCTTGAATTCGGACCATATTTTGCATCTCTCCAAGAAATTTCTGACTTGAAAAATGAAAACATAAATTAATTCAGAAACCGTTAGAAGCATATGATTTAATACCCACATAATAAGTTGTCATGGGAAAGGCGTAAAAGAAAAATGAACTGTAACCATGAGAAACAACATGGTCAAATATGATTTATTTGTTACCAAGTTCTAGATTGTGATAAAATAAAATGGTTGTAGCCAACATAAGTAATGCAGATTAGTTTTGTTTAGTTTCAGTAGTAACTAAAAATTTCATAACAAGAAAAACAAGTTACCCATCAGCCATCTCAGCATGTAACTCATCATCCATATCAAACAATGTATCAGTAAGACCACCAGTCTTCCTAACTATTGGGACCTGAAATAATCAGAATTTTGAAGTATGCCTCGTCTCAGTGCATTTTTTTAACCAATGGTCTTGAGTCTGTTGGACATATGCATATTCTCTAACAAAAAAATAAATAAACAAATGATGCAACTAGTCTTTTTGATTATTACAGATGACCAATTCTTTTGCCATATGATTTTTATTTTTGATGAGTGGGCATATGATGAAAACTGAATCCTTTAATCCAACCTTTCTTTAGATGCCATGTCAGGAGTATTAACACTACACCTATAATGGCTTTGGCAAAATGTAGACAAATAGGTATTACATGGATGCATAACTAGAAGAGGAGTGAGTTTTCATGGATGTAGACAATGATAACTGAGCAGTGAAGCCAAATAGTCATTACTCATTACCCAGACAAGAGAAGAGGAGTGAGTTTACAAGATAGTATATACGGCTCCATAACACATTCCAATCATTTGAGCAAGTCCACATGGCTCATATATGGAAGGAACTAATACCATGTCTGCTGCAACATAAAGCATATGTGACAGCTCCTCACTACATAGTGGATTCGATATCAAAGCATAGACAACACGCGGAAAACTCAATCAATAACCAGAATAGTTGACAGCATATTATTCAGG